GGGGGGGGGGGGGGGGGGGGGGGGGGGGGGGGGGGGGGGGGGGGGGGGGGGGGCAAGGTGACCCTCCCCCAACCAACCAATCAATCAACCTGTCACAGAGTGTCCATGACGATCGTGCTCCATCATGCGCTCGACTCTCACTTCAACTGTGTTCCAAACAAAAGAGCTTAGCCCCTAGTGTTATTGATATTGATATTTTACTTGTAATATATCGTGACAAATAGAACTGCCCGGTAAACCGTAGGCAGAGAGAGAGAAGAGGACAACAAACGAGGGGCTGTGACATACATATTTCAAGATTTGAACACCTGATCTGCTCGTCATCAGTTAACACGTCCGTACATTCAACCACAAAACGCTGAGGTACATGGCACTCTTCCAATTGGCCAAAGCACGGACGAAAAAAAAAAAAACAACCTACACTGCCTACTTTGCCCAAATATAACCAAGTGGCAAGTACCCATCAGCATGAACGTATACAGACCTTATCCTGTCCAAATCTAGGCTACCAGAGTGGCCCGGGACCACTTGCCCCCGGCCGGGTCCAAAAAAAAAAAAAAAAAAAAAAACTTTATTTTTTATTTTTATTTTGGTAAACAATTTCGATGTGACCCTGAGGCAAAAATTGTTCAGTTTATTTTTCTGCATAACTGTCATACACAGTTTTTTTTCAGATTTTTTGGATTTTGATTGTTTTTTGCTGGGACCTTCCTTGGTCGTTTTTTTGGATTTTTTCAATTTCCAATTTTTTTTGCTGGGACCTTCCTTGGTCCTTGGCACGCCCAGGCCGCCCAGGAAAACAGGGTGACCCGGGCGGCCCGGCTGGTAGCCTAGGTCCAAATACAAATATAACTAAATAGTAAATACCCATGATCATGAAAGTATACAGACTCTTACAGAGTAATTACTAATTAGTAATTACAGAACTTACACCCATCCAAATACGGTGGAGATGCGAGGGCTTTGTGTTTGGGGGAGGAAGAGGGCCCTCACTTCTGTTCAAGTCAAAAAAGTGGTCAGTCTGTTATTTCTGATCATTGTTTAACTGCCCAGTCTGTCATTTCACCGTCCGGTACGCTGATGGTTTGCACATCAAATTGCAGGGGTGTTAAATTTACACCCCACCGAGTCACTGAGTCCTATGCTGCATCATCGCTGGCACCCCTTCCTCCTTCCACCCCAGTCGATAGCTCGATTTACTTTTGGTTTAAACTTTAATCTCCAGTAAACTGCACTCACAACTCTGCTGAAACTCCCATACTTGCAGTTAACGTCCAACTGGATTTACTGTTGGTTTAAACTTCAAACTCTAGTAAAAGTTGTAAAAGTAAATCCCGTCAGATATAACTCTCCCCTGAACTCCCATACATCCAGTTTACCATCCAACTGAACTTTATAAACTCTAGTAACTCCAGTCAGATAGATTGAGGCGCGTTAGCGGAATTTCCCAGTTTCGAAATCCGATATTATATTATGAAAGCTTTAGACGCAAGATATACTCCGTGAGGTGGTTACATGGACGTAGATGATACATTCAGGACCGCTCTCTTTCCATGTCCCTTGGGATGCTAACCGCCAAACCTCAAATTGACGGCCCAGTGGCCTCTCCATCAGTCCCTAAGTGTGGTCAGTACTCATAATGTTCGGGTAGCGAAGCTTACACTTGTTCAATAGTTCGTTGTGGCTTTCTTCCCTTTTCCTTTCCGAACTCGGCTGAAACTCCCATACAATGCATACATCCGGTTAGCATACAACTGAACTTTATAGACTCTAGTAAACTCCACTCAGATATAACGGTCGTGAAACTCCCGTGCATGCAGTTAACATCAAATCCAGCAAACTCTACGCACGATCGAACTCCAGCGGGATCCACTACACTGCTGCGGAGCTGCAGGAAAAAAAAAAAGGGAGCCTTGTCTGAAGACGAGAAAATTTGGACGGAAAACCGATGATCTAAAAAAAAGTTTAAAAAACAGAAAAGAAAAGAAAAAAAAACAAACAAAAACTTCAAAAAGCAAAAAGGCGGGCTGCTGGACATTGAAGGATGATTAGGTATTGCAATTGTTCTCTTTGTCGTATGTATTATTATTCTGTACAGTGGAAATCTCAGATCTCTATTGCTAATCATGGTTAGCTCAGGGTTAAAAAAAATGTGCGTTGTCTTCTTACAGAAGCAGATCTGGTACAACATAACTGTTCCATCAGAATCCATCTCCATCTCGACAAACCAAACGGCCGAATTCCCAAAGGACCCTTTCCAAAGTCTGAATCAAACCTCTACGACAAACCGGGGTGTTTGTTACGAACCCAAAAAAAAAAAAAAAAAAAAAAACACTGGTGTTGGCGAGGTTGGCATATATTTTTTTTCTGACTCACCTCATGCTCTGCAAGTTGCGGACATGTCCTTTAGAGGAAGATCTCGACCGTCAGGTACCTGTTTGTACAGAGACCTCTGGATATACATCTGTAGACGGCTTACGACGGCTCGCGCATCCGGATCATTCTTCTCTCGAAGAACGGACAGGACCTCCCGATCTATGACGGCGATCAGCTTCAGAAATGGCTTTGGATACTCCCTATTTAATCGATAACCTGCAACCTTGAGAAAGGCTTCAAGAGCTGATGCTGTCGCCCGATTGGCTGGAAGATTGTTCAGCAGCCGTGCCATCCACGCCCACCCATGCGGAAGACCATGCGGATTTGTGCCGCTACTGACTTCAGTCTGAATGATTGCACCATAAAAGGTCATGTAGCCGGTCATTCTGCCGATGTAACTATCTTCGCTTTCTTGCGTTCCGTCTTCTTCTCGATACCCAAGCTTCTTGAAGTACTCTTCATCTGATGCGTATGCGTTCTTGTTGTATAGAAAGTACTTGGGTACCGTGTAGATGCACACCTCGTGCAGTCGCGCCAACAGGATTTCCATCACACCCGGCACCTGTACGGCAACGTTCACTGCCACATTCGCCAGAGGAAACGCAAATGTGGGCAGCTTCTGAACCTGCACCTCGCACTGCGACAGCATCTTCGACGCAAAGCTGAGCACCATGAACTGCTGCGGCAGACGTTGGTTACTCAGAAGCTCTCCCAGCTCTCTCGACTTACGCCGGACTTGCTCCTGAGTAGCGGAAATCTGCTGCACAGCCAGAATGATTTTCCGCTCATGACTCCGCCTTTCCTTCTTCAATGACTCGTCCCTTTCGTACGGACGAACTGCTTCCTCGAGAGCTTTTAATCTCGTTAGACGCTCTGCTTCCACGGTAGCCGCACTTTCAGCAATTCTAATGCGCGAAGATGGACCAGAGCTTTGAGAAGCTTTGCCTTGTTGCTCCTTCTGCTTTACACCGGGGGCAGAAGGAGGGTTTGGCTTGGCGAGGATCTGACGGCCAGGAATTCCGGCAGCAGAAGAAGTAGAGGCTCTATTCTCCATATCCTGTCCTTGATTCACTGTTGCTGATAGATCACGGGCGCGAGATGCATTTGAAACAGCAGCGGCAGCGGCAGCAGCAGCAGCAGCAGCAGCAGCAGCAGCAGCAGCAGCAGCAGCAGCTTCTTCTTCTTCTTTGGCCCTCTTCGCGGCCTCCATTGCTGCCTTCTGTCTTGCGGCGGCCTCTGCTTCGGCCTTCCTTCTTGCAGCGGCCTTGGCTTCAGCCTTCCTTCTTGCTGCCTCCTCTTCTTCCGCCTTCGCCTTAAGCTGCTTCTCTCTCTCAGCCTTGGTGGCAAGCTCTTCCACTTCCGCATCACGCTTCAACTTCCTGTCTTCCGTCTCCAACCTTTGCTGATGATGCCGTTGTAGCTGGGATAAGTGACTGTCCCTCGCTTCGGCAATTTCCCTCTGAGACTGTCGATCCGCAGCCCTCAGCCTCTCTTGCTTCGCCTCCATGTCCCTCTCGACGTCAGCGATTCGCTCAGCCTCGTGCTGTCGTTGCAACATAATCATCCGCTGGAAGGGGACATTGGTTGTCCGCAACATGTCCTGCATTCTCAAACAGCGCGCCCTTCGTAACTCGAAGAGTGCCACTGCTTCCAAATCAGGTCTTGTCAACAAATTGCTGCCGCCAGTCCTATTCTCCACTCCCTGGAGATGGACTCTGCTGAGATCCTCTTCAATTTCACTTCTTGTAGCATCGGCATTCCTTGGGCCTTGATCGTTGTCGCCGTCTTCTGAGGTAGATCGGTTCCCATCTTCGTCGTCCTCTTCCTCGTAACGAGGAATGCCCTGCGCCTCCTCAGTCTCAACGTCAGAGTCATCAGACGAGTCAGAGGAGTCGAAGCTCGGGGCACGCATCCTAAAAGGACCAGATCTTCCCTTAAAATTGGCAGGTTCTCGGAGGTCTCGCCACGTCACAACATTTTTATGTCTTGGAACCGGAACATCGCGAGGAAGCAACGGCTCCGATGTTGTCGGAAGCAGCGCGTCCAGCTCACGGTTTAGATCATCCAGTGTCCATTCTGGATTGGGATCCAGGCCATGAATATGGATCCCTTTCCTTGACTTTGGGGTCAACTCTACGTGTCCGGTCGGCATCCGCCTCGGGAATGGCTCCATGGTTCCAGAAGGATTACCCACTTCCACTTCGGCCGAATAAAAGAACAGCCTTGTCATATTCCTTGGCGTCAATATCAAAAATGTGTGCGATCCTTTCCGTGGCAAAAAGAGCAGCCGGCAACACAGTACTACCAGATAACGATGACAAACGACGAGCAAAAAAACAGCGTAGAGGCAGCTCACTGCAAGCAGACAAATGGCCACAAGCACGGTATCGAGTGCGAGATGAGAAGACGACAACACGTTCCTCCTCCCTCAATCCGAGAACTGGCAGAAGCACGTTTCATCCATCCATGCATAAAAACCCCTGCTGCTCCAGTGAGGTGCAGTCAAGTACATTGCCCCATCATCGACTAGCTACGAGGCCACCTCTCGTCCTTCGGAGGGAAAGCTGTCAAATTGGAACAATAAAGAGAAAATTAGTATGTTCCCTGAGCAAGGAAGACATGATTAAATTGAGAAATAGTTCCCGCCCCCACCAAAAAAAAAAAAGAAAGAAAAAGGAAAAAAAAAGGAAAAAAAAGAAAGGAAACCAGCCTGTGACTTTCTATGAATACCAGAACAGGCTCAAGGAAAAAGGGAGAGAGCAGCAAAACCAAACTTTGACTACACCAAGTCAACATATCAAAGACCAGACCCTTGTCAAACCCACCCCCAAAAGCAACCAAAATGAATTTTCCAGAAGAGAAGAAAGACGCCCCCCTCTCCCCCTGGCCCCCATATACCCATCCAACGCCACGATAGACATTTCACCGGGAGGAAAGGGATAAGACAAATCAGATGGCTCTCTCAAGAGGCAGCGAGCACCAATGGGCCTAGCTCAGTCGGCGCACCCGCTACCTATCGAAATACAGACCTGAGCTCAAATCCAGATGACCTTAGATCAATGATGAAATCAAATGATTCTGAATTAACTAGGGCCGGTCGGTTTGACAATGACATATCAAATGATTCTAAATTACCTAGGGCTGATCCGTTTGGCAATGACATCTCAAGGCGGCCGCCCTTTATTGAAGAACGGAAAATAAAAGAGGGGGCACTGAGGGTCAATACAAGTTCACCTGCGACTGGCCTTACCGCTCCCGCTTGGCCACGCCCCTGCCCTTGCATGGCACCTCTGCCATCCAGCCTCCTTCCTCCCCCCCACCAACCGGTCCATGCAAAAGCTCTTGATCGCTCTGGAAATAATAAATATCCTTCCCTTCAAATACATTGTCCAGTCAGCCTGTTAGGATCTTTCTTTTTCTTTTTTCTCTTTCAATCCCGTGTCTATTGGAGGGGGTCAGCACCTGCCGGGAACAACGCCCAGCTCTCCTGAGAGCATCACGTACACCCAACTCAACGCTTCCCCGAGTTACGGCCCGGGGACCACCTGCCAGCATTGATTTCTTCCCTCAGGAAATCTTGACCGACAGTCAAGCCCATGCCTTGGATAAAGCCCCCTCCCCCCCCATCAGTGCTACCCCTTTGGAAGAAAGAAACATGCCCACACCCAGCCAGCCAACTTTCCTCACGTGAACTTTAGAGAGGTGCTACCCTTCTGCCAGGCTTAGACCCGTGACCCCGGAGGGGTTCGTGTCCTACGCTTACTTCTGCTGGTGTGCTCTCGGTCACTCCTCCCTCAGGAAGTCTTGACCGACAGTCAAGCCCATGCCTTGGATAAAGCCCCCTTCCCCCCCATCAGTGCTACCCCTTTGGAAGAAAGAAACATGCCCACACCCAGCCAGCCAACTTTCCTCATGTGAACTTTAGAGAGGTGCTACCCTTCTGCCAGGCTTAGACCCGTGACCCCGGAGGGGTTCGTGTCCTACGCTTACTTCTGCTGGGGTGCTCTCGGTCACCCCATTTCAGCCTCATTGAGTTGCTTTCCAGGGTGCCAATCTTACCTTCCCCCAGGTCATCTTTCACACGTTTGTTTCTGATTTCTTGCTCTTTGTCCTGGCCGTTCTTTGTCCGCCGCTTTTCCTTGTGCCAGTCTATGCGATACTCTGTTTCCAGCAGTTGCAGCACCCCCTCCGAGGCCTCCTCTGCCGGCACTTGCTGCCTGTCCAGTGTCTCATTGCATACCCTTTTCGATGCCGCCCACAGTTGCCCGGGCCGGATTCTCCTGTGGAGCTCTTCCGTTCCCACTCGTGTAGTCCCGTGGGTTCCGTGAAATCCAGTTTGGATTTTTCACTTGTTCACTCCACATGATTAAATACCAGTGTGGATGTGTTGCCTTACGGCTTCCTTCTTCCCCCCATTTATCTTTTTTTTTCTCCCTCCTAAAAAAATAGTAGTCCTCGCATAACAGTACCGCGCGGGCCCAGGCAAAAACCGTTCGGGAGGCAGTGCCGGTAGGGTGTGGTCCGACTCAGGGAGTCGCAAATTTTTCGAGTGTCCGGCGGTGTGGTGTCGCGGTGTCATTTAGTCTGGCTGGCACTTCGCCTGGACAGGCTTCTCTTTGCCGTGCCATTTCGTTTCGTTTGGTCGCCTGAGTTTGTTTTTTCAGCGCGCCATTTCGTTTTGTTTGGTCGCCTCAGTTTGTTTTTTTCAGCGCCGTGCGGTGGGTGGGCGTGGCACAAATGTTTGAATGCAAGTTCATCGCCCAACCCGTTCAGGTGAGCAGACACACGGGACAGGGCGTCACTTCACTACTGCCAGCGTACCTTTCCATGTTCTAGCTGAAAATTCATTCTCATTTTTCTTCAGTGTTGTTTTCCTCTTTTCTCATGCTTTGTTGTATTTTTTTTTTCGGTTTTCATACAGCCTCGCCCCACTGCTCAGTACAACATGGTGGTGTACCTTTCCATGTTCTAGCGAAAGATTCATTCTCATTTTTCTTCAGTACTGTTTTCCTTTTTTCCCATGCGTTGTTCTATTTTTTTTTTGGTTTTCATACAGCCTCGCTCCGCTGCTCAGTACAAAATGGTGGTGTATCTTTACATGTTCTTGCGAAAGATTCATTAACATGTTGCACGTGTTGTTGTTGACTTTCTCAGTTGGCACATGTTGTTTCTGCTTGCACCGCTCCACTGCTCAGTGCATGCACAAAAGACAAAAAATATGGCGGTGTATCTTTCCATGTTCTAGCAGAATATTCGTTCACATTTTGCACATGTTTGTCGTTTTGGGGAGGACCCGATGGGGGAGGAAGACGAAGAACAGGGAGGAAGACGAAGAACAAGGGAGGAAGGACAAGGGACGGCTTTGATGGACCGAGGGAGGAGGAAAGAGGAGGAAGAGGGAAAAGGAGGAGGGTACGTGCGGTTGAGAACTGGCGACTGCGATGGAGGAAAGATGGACGGTCGAGGAGGGACTCAGAATGGAAGACGAGGATGGATGGTAGAGAAAAGGGGACTTAGTCTACCGAAGGGGGAAGGAGGAGGAAAAAGAGGAGGAACTTCGAGGAAGATGAAACGGTCATTAGGGGAATGAGGAGGGAGGAGGAGGGAGGAGGAGGGAGGAGGAGAGCAGCGGCGATGGAAGGTGGTCGACTTGGTTTGCATTTGGGAGTTGAGCACGGGCGGAGGGTGTTCTTTTTTCTTTTCTTTTGGAGAGCATGTTGACATGGCAGTGCATACTTCAACAGCCCTCTGCACGAAAGATGGACGATGAAGGAGGGACGCAGAAGGCGACAACGGACATTTGGAGGATGAGGAGAGAGGACGAGGGGGAAGGAAAGGAGCGCCGATGGAGGCTGGGAGATGCGGACGGACACAGGTTTTTTTCTGGGGTGGGGGGGGGGGGGGGGGGGGGGGGGGGGGGGGGGGGGGTGGGGGGGGGGGGGGGGGGGGGGGGGGGGGGGTATGCTGACGTGCGTTGATTGATTGAATCATGTGCTGCTGAATCGATCAATCACTCCCGGCCACTGTCTCTTCAGCAATGAATCAGTGGCAGTCGACAAAATCGCAGCCACATCGGCAATGAATCAGTCGTAGTGAGCAAAATTGATTTGTTGATTGATTGAATCGCCAGGGCGCGCCGCTACAGGATGTGTAGGAGGAGCACACGGCACAGGAGGGGGAGTGGCCGAAGTGCGAGGCTACTGCCTCTATGAGCCCCATTCAGCCCCTTTTTGGGAGCCTGTCGGCCGCCCTAAGTGAAGGCAGGCTCGACGAGGCCCCTTAGGGCCGTATTTCGGCCTCTGCGCAACTCAAGGAAATTCAGGCAGTTGCGCAGCACCAGTTGGTTGAGAGAACCCAGGCCCTGGGCCGCCTGTGTGAATGTATGGAAAGCAGGCCCTAGGCTGGATACGGGTACTGGGCCGAACACAGGCCGAAGGCAGTTGGGCGCATGCAACCAACTCAGGCCCAAGGCCTGTTCTCGAACGTGCTGGGCCTCAGGCTGTCGGGGCCTACTGGAAGCTTCTGGGACTGGACGCAGGCAGGCCACTTCGATATAGCAAAGGGCCTGCCTCCTCATTCGACATTC